TAAATTAATTTCAGTAAAATAATTTTAATTTTACAAATTTGTATCATGGAGTATTAGAATATCTCTTAAATTTATTAAAATATACATAAATTAATTATTTAAAATCATATTTTTTATATATTTTATGATATTATTTATTTTTAATAATAATTTTTTCTTTTTTAAAAGAGAAATATATCTCAATAACTCCCAAGTAAATTCGATAATACTTGTTCTTGATTAAAAATAACAAGAGACGAGTTCTGACATGGATACTACTGGTAGCCTTAGATCAGAAACTACAGCTAGCTTCTTCTTAACGTTAATATGAAGTTCGTGTAAAACCTTTTTACATTAACAAAAAGACTTCAATTTTCCCAGATGAATTCCATTCAATTTTTATTTCCGGGAGGACAGAGACTCTCGCAAAGAATGACAAAAAAGAGTGGAAATTCAAAAAAAAGAAAAAGAAAAAAGGTCCTCGGGTAGAAGGAAATTAAATTTGTGCCCCAGTTTGCAAATTTCTCCATAGTTGGTGTCCTTGTTTGCCTATCATGCCAAACAAGAATGCTATACAATTTACCATCACATTCATGATTCATTATTCCTTATTTACATCACATATTGCAGAATACTATCTTCAATACCAACAGACATGCATGATGCATCCTTCCTTCCTCCCTTGAATTGCAGTCGCATCTCAGGAAGTATATCTACCAGAACCACGACAACTGCATCTTCCCATAATGGGCAGATGATGGACTGTGAACATGATCAACCTTCGGAAAATTTCATCTTGAAGATGGAACTCTTTATCAACTGCCATTTCAACATTTCAAGTTTATCAAGTGAAAGGATAGAAATTTGAAAAGAGCAAGCTCCCAAGAAGGATGTAGGCAGCAGAGTAAGCCCATATCATATATCCCCATCTCTGACTCATACCAGGAGATACCATTACATATGAAGCAAACCAATATAAAGGAGGACTGGCAGACAAGAAACGTGTCGCAACCTGTTCACATAAGAAGTGGCTGTTTAAACCACCTTTCATGACACCAATCAACCAGCAAAATATGATAGGTTAAACAAAAGCTATCCAAACAGGAAGCAGAAAGTACGTACTGTATCAGTGTTCAAATAAGAGAAAGTTAAAACAAGTTGGCACTCATTTGGTCTCTTTGTATGAGGCATAACAGCTGATCAATTTCCAGGAAGATAATTTCTGTTTCCATGAGTCTTGTGATACTTTCTGATTCTAGGTTCTAGACAATTTATTTCCATTGCAAGTTATACAAAATTACAATTCTAAAGCAGCAGATCTAAGATCAAATGGCACCTTTAATCTTAGCACAGCATTGTATAGGAAAAGGTTCTCAATAAGTAGTGGTAAAAACTAACAAGGTTCTCAATAATGGATGAGGATGAGGCTTTATAGCTGTAATAAAAAATTATAAATCAACAGAGAACAAGGATGAGTCTGACCTGGACGTGCATAACAAGAAATGCTGTGGCTGCCATGATTCCAAGATGCACTATAAAGGGAAGCATAAAGGCACATAAATATCCTGACTTCTCCAAGGGTTCATGGTCTACTCTATGCTGAGCAGGATCTCTTCCTTGTCCCATTCTCTTTCGCTGTCTCAGGTTATGATTTTCTGTCACCAGGTTAATAATTACTTCAGCTGTTCTTCTTTTTGCAGCAAAATTTGAAGACTATATCTATACATGATTAGACAGTATTTTCACCTTGTCTAACAGAAGAAGATTGTTCTGACAAAGGACCTTTTGATCTTTGGTCTGCCTCCAGAGGAAAAAACAGTACTGAAGAACCTTTTTCCTCAACAGAAGCTTGAAAGCCCAATGAAAAAACAATCTTAGGTCGTGAATTCACATAATAGCCAATTGAGCAAAGTGCCAATGACAATATTGGAGATGCGAGCAGAAAATTAGGTATTTGTTTCACTTGGAAGTATCTCAGGAATCCTCCTCCCCTGACATCAAAGAAAACCAACATAATGAAGAATATCAAGGCACAGAAATCCAAATAAGTCACTTTGCTGGCAACAAAACTTTAGCTAAACCCAAGTATAAGGAAACTGATGGATGGAAAACCATAAACATTATAGAGGAACCTACCAATAGTGACTTTGAATGTAATTGTACAGCAATGGTACTCTTGCTTTGCACCAAGGACTCAATTCATCTGGAGAACGTCCTTGACAGATATTGTAATAGCCATACACTTGAAAAGCAATAAATGGTGCAAAAATGCATATACAATGCAGTGCTCCAGCTATTAGAATCCGCAATGCCAACTATTATATAAATACCATATTATCAAGAATGCCATCGATTCCCATAAAGCATTTGGCATTTTAAGCATAAAATTAGAAACCAAAAATTCTTATGAGTAGCTGAGCATCCACAACATCCCAACAAGCTCAAGAGTCAGCATAAACAAAAGAAAAGAAACTTACAAATTTACGCTTTTTCAGAAAGATTGCATCATAAGCCTGATGCATTGTCTGAAAACAGAAATAACCAGCATTTAGCACTCCATTAGATCTTGCACAGCCAGAAAGAGCGAGCCAAATAATGGCAATACTATTTGCGCCAGAGATTAAATGATACAATCCACCAACTGAAAATAGGGCATACAAGCTCTCTGAATATCTGTAGTAACAAGCGCAAAATAAAAGAGAGAGCCCTTAGTTGACTTCACCTCCTGAAAAATCACTTAGAAAGAAACAGATAAGTAGCATACATTGATGAGTAGAATATCGAAGCTGGACTGAAGCAAAACAAAATTGAAGCCCTAAGTGCAACAACAGGGTCCTTCAAAATAATAACTGAAAGCCTGTTAGAATACCAAGTGTTAGAATATCAAGTGTGAGAACAACAGCTAAAAGTCACACCACAATAATAAGATAAGAAATGAGCTCCATAGTCACTTATGTGACCATGTCCCAGGGCATCTCATTTTTCAGATTTTTAAGTACAGAATGAACCCAGCAAGTGAATGAACTCATTTTAAGTAGTCTGTATTCCATCATCAACTCTGCAACATTCACAATGAAACCAGGAAGAGGGTGAGAACTTACTTGTAAAAGTAAATCGCTGCTAAAACAAATGCCCCATTGCTAACAACATATCCAGACAGTCCCAGGACAGCTCTATGACCAAACACAGGAATCAATGGCGCAAAAACTGCATTGAAAGAAAAGAATCAGTCAAAACAAGTACAAATGATTCAGGAAATTCGGTTCTTAATATGCAATGAACTGCCCAACCTGTTTGTGACAAGATAAAAATACATGCCGGCAGCAATGGGAGGAAAGCGTAGGACTGTTCGTACTCGTATCCACACTGCGCGATCCGGACAAAGTACACACTATCCCACACGATGCCATTCTCGATGGCGGAGCCGAGGGAGGGGAAGAGAGGAGGAGGGTGCGGGTGGGGGTTAGGGTCTGTGAGGCAGGCGGGGTTGAGAGGTGCGGAGGTGTCATAGGGCCTGAGGAGGACCCGCCAGAGAATGGACAGGGATAAAAGCAAAAATCTTGAAAAGATTGCAGATTTGAGGACGAGGGTTTGGTGGCAATCACGGCGTTTTGGTAAGGGTTTGGCGGCGGTTTCCGTCGTCATCCTGGGATTTAGCAAGGAAGAGAGAAATGGTGAAAGACAGGATTTCGATTTTTCCGGGCGTTTTCAACGGAATCGGTTAACAAACGCCCGGTTTTCTTGGTTCGCAAAAAGGGAGAAAAAGATAAGGAAAAATAGCGAAATCGGCCCTTTCTCTTATGGGACATGCTCAATTCGGTTTTTAATGTTTCATATGGATTCAATTAAGCCCTAAATATCTATATTAATTCCAGATTCATCAGTTTCGTCTTATAGACACCAATCCCTTTTTTTTTTCTTTTCAGCAATGATGATGGACTATAGAACAGTTTTAGATTTGAATTCCATACCTTTAGTATATATAACAATCATTGGACATAAATTCAAAGAGAACATAATACATTAATTAAATCTTTATCATGTGAGTTATATAAGACTATCTCTAGTCCATTTTATATTTTCGGGTGATGCATTGTTATAGTATCCAATTGATAATTTTGAAAAAAAAATCAATATGTAATTTTTATCAAGTAATTTTATTTTTAAAAAAATTTAAAATTATCATTCATATACTAGAAAAAAAAAACCATCACTTAAAATTATGGGTTGTGATTAGTAAAATGAATAAGAGATAATAAGATATATTTTACAAATTTTTAAATATGTGTTTGAAAATGGTTAACACAAACTCAAATCACATAAATAAATTTTAAGATGATAAAAGTTCCCCAAATTATGTGAAGGGAATTCTTATTCTACATGTATGTTGGAAATTGGATCAAACAGATTCTGCTAAAACTGAAACTTAAGTCTGAAATTAAAAAATTCATGTATGTCACAGTTCACAAAGCTACATTTGATATGGTGAAGAGTCTGCAGGCAATTGTGGGGAGGACAACACATATGATAAATTTAGGTAGTTGGTGTGGAGGCACACATATGAGGCCAAAAACGGGCATCACCTCATCTCACGTCATTTGCAAATTTCAACGGGCTAATGCTTCTATAAGAGCAATGAAGGTAGTTGGTATGTAGGGTTCATTAAAGCTTTCAGCCTTAAAGGCATACGGTTGGAGCAATTAATTTGTTGGTAAACCGTACAATTTTGCTACAAACACTGCCTTGCCTTTGCAACTAATCTGCCTAAAGCTATCATTCAATTAACAACTCATCATGCACCTAATCTTTCGGGTCAACGGACAATCTACTAACTTGAGGTATATTCTCTCTCCCTTGAATCCGTCAACTGACAATCTATCAATTTGAGGTATATTCTCCCTCCCTTGAATCCCACCTGTTGACAATTTATTCAAAAAAAAAAAATTTAAATACTTTGCCTAGAACAAATAAATTAAACATCTCCTTTTTAAAGTATAACAGCCAAAAAGAATGGAGAGATTGATTTATAATGATTTCATTGTATGGCTCTTTGAGGATGTTAATAGGTTTGGTATATTTACTCATATTAAATGCCTCATACCGACTTCAAAATTAAGGAAACTATTATGAAAGTTGGTTAACCAACAGGAAAGGTTATCCCTCGAACTCCCTCATGAATTATGAAATCAACCACACTATATAGTACCAGTAAATATCACTATTTTATTCACAAAAAAGCAATTCAAAAGCTGTCAATGGGTCAAGGAAGCAATCCAATAAGAAAATGCCATCCAACTTCTAACTGAACATGGATTATTGCAGCATTGAAAGCACGTTGCCCACATTATTAATGACAATTTGATTCAATTCCTCTCTCTAGACTATTCCAAAGTTGAACTGCAATCTAATCAAAATAGATGATTGTATGTGCGACGTGCCGTATACAGTGTGGTCACCAACAAAATCATCAATCTCAATCATCAATATAATTATATGCTTGAAATAATAAATTGCTATAGGGTTGTTTAGGTTTAAGAGTGATATAGACATTACATTAAAAGACAAAAAAA